GTTTTCATAAATATTTATTGGAATACATCACACTTATTCATTTATATATTGTCTGTAGCTGCTTATGTGCAGCAGTGGTAGAGCTGAGTAGTTGCGACAGAGACTGTATGGCTGGCAAGCTTAAAATATTTATGCTCTGTTCTTTTAAAGAAAAGGTTTGCTGACTTCTGATCTGGATATTTTTATCAAATTCAGTTTTTTTTAAGAAGCAAACTTAATAGGTAGTGGTGTATTTTTGCCTATGTGGCATGTAACGTTTGGTTGTCTCTATTTTTGTGATGTTAACAGCCATTGCTTATATTCAGTACTTTTTTAGTGATCACCTACGGTTTTGATAAATATTTCTTTTTGCTGGGCATATAATTTTAGATTGGCATTTTCCTTTCATTGTCCTCTGGCTTCCATTCTTTATGACTTATTGTCAGCTGTCACCCTATTGTTGGTCTTTTGAAGGTAATCTGTCCCCATGTACCTCCCACCCCATTCCCACTCCTTGGATGCTTTTGAGATTTTTCTAGTTTTGATTTTCATCAGATATATTATACTATACTGGTTTTCTTTGTTTTTATCATGCCTTGGGCTTATAGTGCTTCTTGAATCTGTGACTTGGGGTCCTTTGTCTGTATTAGAAAATTCTAAGTCATATGTCACTTTCTCTTCTGTCTCATTCTCTCTTCTTCTTCTTCTAAGATTCCTATTATTTATATGTTAGATCTTATACTCTGTGCCATATTATGTCTTTTATGTTCTTTCCTGTTTTTAATTTCTGTCCTTTTGTAATTTCATGCTTAACAGGAGTATTTTCTTCTGATCTTTCTTCCAATTCACTAATTTTTTTCCTGTGTCTAATCTGCTGTCAAGTCCACCCTTGAGTTTCTTAATTTAATCTTTGCATTTTTCATTTCTGTCATTTGGTTCTTCGTTATAGTTTTCAGTTCTCTGTCAAAATTCTCCAAATTGTCGTTTATTCAGTTGTGTTAAAATCTGTTTCTGATCAGTGTTTTATTTGGTTCTCCTGTGGGTCTTTTTCTAATGTCAGTCTTTCCCCCTTGGTTTTTGGTCATTTATTATTTCCTTGAATGTCTGCTTAGTTTTCACTGAGTGCCAGAAATTGAATGTGAAAAATGTAGATAGTTTGAGGCTTCAGATGATTGTTTTAGCAACCTAAAACATCTCTCTATGCTTTTTATAAGTTCTACTGGAAGAATAAATAGGCATGGGAGAAGAGAGAACTGGTAAGAGTCAATTAATAGAATCATCTTGCGTTCTAGGGCTGATAGAGAAGGAATTGAGGAAAAGTGGGAGAAAATGAAGATCTTGAAGAGTATGGAGTGAGACAGCTAAAAGAGTATTGTTTGGCATCAAAGAGGGGTAATAGACCTTATGATAAAAATAAAAATAATCAAAGGGAGCAAAATGGTCTGTGGCAAAGAACTGGTGTGTTACTTGATTTTAACATGATGAGGTTATATTTATGCTTGGTACTTACCTTCCCTTGATCTTTGGTTTTATAATTAAGTGTTTGCTAATCTATTTTGATAGAGGACTGCAATTTTTCTGGTTTTGTCGACCTATTTTCATCCTTGTTCAAAACTTTGAATCCCCTTTCTCTTTTTTTGCCTCAGGGATGAGGGCCTTCTTGAGCACTTCTTGTAGTGGGGGTCTTGTGGCAATGAACTCCCTTAGCTTTTGTTTATCTGGGAAAGTTACTATTTCTCCATCATATTTGAAGGATATTGTTGCTGGATAGTGTGTTCTTGGCTGAAAGTTTTTGTCCTTCAGAATTTTGAATATATCGTTCCACTCTTTCCTAGCCTGTAAAGTTTCTGTCAAGAAATCTGCTGAGAGCCTGATAGGAAATCCTTTGTATGTTATTTTTTTTTTTTGTCTAACTGCCCTTAATATTTTTTCTTTGTTGTTGACTTTTGCCAGCTTTACTACTATATGCCTTGGAGAGGGTCTTTTCGTGTTGATATATTTAGGAGATGTGTTGATTTCATTCACTGGTTTTCCACGTCCTTCCCCAGGTTTGGAAAGTTCTCAGGTACTATTTCTTTGAACAAGTTCTCTGCTCCTTTTTCCCTCTCTTATCCCTCGGAAATACCTATAATCCCTATGTTGGATTTCCTAATTGAGTTGGATATTTCTTGGAGCGTTTCTTCATTTCTTTTTAGTCTTAGTTCTCTTTTCTCCTCCATCTGGAGCATTTCTGCATTGCTGTCCTCAATATTGCTAATTCTTTCCTCCATATTGTCAGTTCTGATGCTTAAGGCTTCCAGATTTGTCTTTATCTCCTCTGTTGTGTTTTTCATCTGTAGGATTTCTGATTGTTTTTTTTTTATAGTTTCAATCTCTTTTGTGAAGAAATTCCTGATTTCCTTGCGTTGTCTGTCTGTGTTTTCTTGTATTTCATTAAGCTTTTTTATGATGGCTATTTTGAATTCTCTGTTGTTAAGGTTATACATTTCTGTGCTTTCCGGGTTGACTTCTGGGTGCTTGTCATTTTCCTTTTGGTCTGGAGATTTAATATATTTTTGCATGGTGCCTGTCGGCTTACTTTTCCTCATAGTGAAAATATATGGTCACAGTTTCCTCTTGCTGCTGCTGGGTAGGGGTCAAGGGCTGTGTATTCCGGCCCACCTCCATCTGCGGGCACTCTTGGCCCCTGGCTGATCTGAGGCGTGGCTGAGTGCTGGCTGCTTGGGGGAACGCGTGGCAACAGCTGGAGCTGGGGCATGGGAACAGCTGAGACTGGAGCGCAACTAGGCCGAAGAAGCTGGGGCTTGGGTGCGGGTGGGTTGAAGCAGCTGCAGCTGAAGTGCCGCTGGGCCAAAGAAGCAGGAGCTGGAGCACCGCTGGGCCGAAGAAGCTGCAAATGGAGTGTGTGGGCCAGGAAGAGCTGGAGTGCGCCGGGCCAAGGAAGCTGGAACCGGAGTGCACTGGGCCAAGGAAGCTGGAACCGGAGTGCGCTGGGTCAAGGAAGCTGGAACCGGAGTGCGCCTGGCCAAAGAAGCTGGAACTGGAGTGTGCCGGGCCAAGGAAGCTGGAACCGGAGTGCGCCGGGCCAAAGAAGCTGGAACTGGAGTAGTGCTGGGCCGAAGAAGGAAGAGCTGGAGCACTGCTGGGCCAAAGAAGCTGGAACCAGAGTGTGCTGGGCCAAAGAAGCTGGAACTGGAGTGCAGTGGGCCGAAGTTGCTGATGCCAAGTCAGCTGGAGCCTGAGCACAGGACAAACCGAAGCAGCTGGAGCCAGGGGGAGGGGCTGTGGTCAAGCTGAAGGAGGTGGGGGCGGGGAACGGTGGGGGCGGGGAACAGTGGGGGCGGGGAAGCTGGGGCTGTGGCTTGGTCCAGCTGGAGCACCTGGGGCTGTAGCGTGGTCGGGCCTGAGCTGCCGCTGCCTCTGGTACAGGGGCACAGGCTCGCCCCGCTGCTAGTTGGGCCCGGGCACCTGAGGGCTGCTGCCTGTGGGGGTGGGGTGCGGTCATGCTGCTCCTGTTGGTGGGGCTTGGGTGCCTGGGGGCCGCTGCCTCTGGGGATGAGGCTGAGCTGGAGCGCCACTGTGCTGAAGCACCAGTCAGGCGGGCTGGGTGGGGGAGGGACACTTACTTTTGCCTCCCCCATGTCAGAGGTTTCTTGCCTCCCTGTTGCTCTCTGCTCTCCTGAAGGGCTAGCTTATTGAAACTACCCTCGCAACAGTTCCGGTTCCTCTGTGGGGGATCCCCTCTGGCCGTGAGGGGTCTTGGAGAGCGCTGTTTTTCACACGGCGAGCCGCCCCTCTCCCTCCTCTGAGAGCTGCGTGGTCTCAGTCTCTGGGTGGCAGTCCTTGGGGAAGGAAGGGAGCTCCTCTTGCTTCCTTCCACTTACTCTGGGGATTCCAGCACCTCAGTCCTCGGGTGTACAACTGCCTGCGTGCCTCAGACATCCCCTGTGTTGTGTGAATGGCCTCTGTTGGAATATGAATGTCCTTTTTGTTGTGTCTTAGAGGGGGAGAGTTCAATGGGGGCAGCTCACTCCATCACGATGCTGACGTCACCTTTGTTACTTGAGTTTAGATTAGGAATCAGTCCCTTAGGGTTGAAAAGTCTAGGTAAGTCTTAATGGCTCATGTGGGAGTAGGTTAAGTTTTGAAGGAAGTAACCATTTAGTAAATGGTGAAGAGCAGGAAGAGAATTTCAGGCTACACTGTATTTTGCAACTTCTTTGTTTCTTTGAATTTCCTTTGAAATTACCTTTAGCCTGATTGGTCTAAAATGTTTGGCATAGTTAGGAGGTGGGAGTGAAGACCAGAAGCTATCCTGCTTTTGCCACAAGCTCCACACCCTAAATGGATTCGTATGGCTAGTAAATAGCTGGGGCTACAGCTTTAGTCTCAAACTCAAGTTCAGTGAGCTTTCTTTAACTCTTTGGGAGTACTAATACCTGCCTAACCTACTTCACAGGTTTTTTGTAAAGACCTATTGGAATGTATGAAATATTTCAAAAAATACTATACAAATGTAAGGTGGTTAATAATCCATGGCTAGTGGAGAATAGCATGACTTATAATTACACTGAAGGAAAAATTTTAAATCAAGAACTTATTACATATGATTTAATTTATTCATATAACTTAATTGTGTTAAGTAAAATTTATGATAGATTTATGTGTGAATCAGAGCATATCAATGTCAGAAGTTAATACTACATTTTTCTACTTGAAGGCAGAAATATTGTACATATATTCTCATTATCTTTGAGAAAATGAATTTTCTTTTTAAAAAGAAATCAAATACTATAAAAGCAAATGAGTTGTTACATTATATAAACTTAAATTTGTAGTTTCTATTTAGATTCTACAAGAAAATTTAAACATTGTAGATTATTGGATAGTATATATCACTTGATCTATTAAAAAAAATAAATAAAACAGTCCCAGTCCTAAAGGGATATTATGATTTGTAGGCAAAGCATTATACTAAAACTTTTAGAAACTAACGTATAAAATTATTTCTCTGTCTCTAGGCAAAATTTGGTTTCTCTAATGTTACTGGAATTGATTACTCTCCTTCTGCAATACAGCTTTCTGGAAGTATTATAGAGAAAGAAGGTTTATCTAACATTAAGTTGAAGGTAACTATTATTTATATTACTATAACTTACTTTTATTTATAATAAAAGTTATAAGTTTAAGTGTTTCTAAAGTACATTAATTAGCTGACATCTTTTGAACTCATTTGAATAAGGGATCAGTCAATAACCCAAATTGAAACATTTTTAAATAACTGTTGGAAATTTTGTCTAGTCAGCTTGGGGAAGTTATTTTCTCTTCTTCTTTGTGTGCAAGTGTGTTCACTCTTTTTCTCTTATTTGCTAACGTACACAAATAATTCCTAACTTTGGATTAACTAGATCAAAAAGTTGTAAATGCATAGAGTGATATAATGCCACCAAAGATTGCTTAATTTTTGTGTCCTGTGGTCTGTGAGGTGATGACTCTTACATTTATATTTCTAGCCCAGGCCTCTTCTCTGGGCTCTAGAATTATATAAAAACTACATATTCTGCAGTTCCACTTGGCTAGTTAATAGTCTCTCAATTCGTCCAAAATGCAACTCTTGGTTTCCTCCTTAAACTTGCTTTCCCCCAGTCTTTCTCATCTCTATTAATGATACCACCATTCACCTGTTGCACTAACCCAATCCAAAGAGTCATCCTTGAGTCTTCTCTTTCCTTTAAATTCTATGTCCAATTCTGTTGGTTTTATCTTCAAAGTATATCAGGAATGTGATCACTTCTTGATATTTCCACTGCTACCCCCCAAGTTCTAGCCACCATCATTTCTTGCCCAGCCGACTACCGTAGCCTCTTACTTACTCTCCCATCTCCAGTCTTGCCACCCCACTGTCCATTACCACAGGACAACCAGAGTGATCTTTTTTTTTTTTTTCCTGAGGAAGATTCATACTGAGCTAACATCTATTGCCAGTCTTCCTCTATTTTGTGTGTGGGTTGCCGCCACGGCATGGCTGACGAGTGGTGTAGGTCCGTGCTTGGCATCCGAACCTGTGAACCCCGGGCTTCCGAAGCAAAGCACGCATACTTAACCACTATGCCACTGGGCCAGCCCCTGTTTTTATTTTCTTCGTAGTGCTTTATCTGAAATTATTTGGTTAGCTTATTTATTGTTTGTTTCTCCCTTTAGAGAATATAGATATATTCTCATACAGGGACCTTTCTGTTTTGTTTACTGTTATATTCCCGGGGCCTGAAAAGTCCCTGCGTAGAATAGGTGTCTATGAAATATTTGTTGAATAAATGAATACTTTTATACAGGCATTTAGGATAGGAAGCCTCTCCTAAGTTAGCTCTTAAGAGCAGTAGTCATTATTTTGCTTCAGGTGTAGTGAATACTTGGATGTGAGAGAGGGGAAAAAACCATCTTCAAATGTAAATGAACATAAAATCCACATTTTAAAGTCAAACAATAAGAGAGCTTTAGATAATACACTATTTGTGATTAGTTTATTTAGTTTGTATTAAAGTCTAATTGCTTAATTACTTTTTCAAAGTAACTTTTCAGAATTAAGTTCATTGGTAAATTATTGTGAATATTTTATGAAATTGAGACAGATCACTATATCAAATGCTTATAATGTATCAGTAGGTTATTGAAAATGAATGAGATGCTGCTCTATGACTTTCAAAATGTAAAGTGCATGATATTTATGAAGTTAAGTAATTGCAGTTTAAACAGTCATTTAATTTCTTAAGTTTTATTCCATTCGTTTTATCCATTAGTTGCTTTGTAAGGTGCTGAGTCATGGCAGAAGAACTTTTGTTTTACCGTGTTTACTTCAGACCACACAAGTAATATCAGCCAAAAATCATCCTGTTTCCAATGATCCAGGGAGTTTTAGTTCCAGATAATTTTTGTCATTTTTAAGAATATGTCAAATATTCTACCTTTCGACAGAAACAACTTTTTCATAAACCAGGCTTGTGAGATTCATTATGTGCTGGTATTAGGTCCTTTACCCAGCTTTGATTTGTTTCCAGATTTGTAGAGATTTGGAATGTCCAGGAAACGCTGTCAGTCTCTCTTACTAATCTTAGCTTTAATGATCTCAGAATGAAGCACATAAAAGTTACCTATAAAGTTGAAAATATGTTTATTATATGTAAAATGCCATCATAATTAGTGGGTCCTTTTATCTATAACTTTTTACAGGTTATCATTTAAATTCAGTAAAGATTATGTTAATTGTTCTCACATAGATATTGATTTTTAATATAGGTAGAAGACTTTTTGAATCTTTCCACAAAACTGTCTGGATTTCATATTTGTATTGACAAAGGGACTTTTGATGCCATAAGCCTTAATCCTGACAATGCAATTGAGAAGAGGAAGCAATATGTGAAATCTCTCTCCAGGGTATTGAAAGTGAAAGGCTTTTTTCTAATAACCTCATGTAATTGGACCAAGGAAGAGTTGCTAAATGAATTCAGTGAAGGTAAATGGCTATATGTTGTTTAAATGTTTAATGTGCTTAAATAGGTTTTTTTTTCTTGGTATTAGTGTTTCACTTTCCTATTTGTGGGAATTACCTGCTTTTCTAGTCTGTTAATAACCTCGGTAATATTTAACTGTATATACAAAGAACAAAGAAATATTGGTTGAGATCCAGAGTCCTTTTAAAAATTTTCCAAGAAATCCTGGCAGTTAAGTACTAAAATTTTCGAGCCTGTAGAAATTAAGTTCTTTATTTAAGCTGTATAATCTATTGTTTAAAGAATCAAAGAAAGCACATATACTTTGCTCATGACTTCGTCTGATAAATGATAAATGGTAATAATAGGATCATTAATAATGCAAATGGAAGTAGTATTTTTTAAAGTCTTACATGATGAGAGTTTTAATTTTATAGATACTTTATATGTCTTGCTAGTGGTCATTTAGGTATTTAGATTTGTCTTCTTGTTTTCAGTGTATATAGAACAATTTTAACATTGCACAGAAACAAAATGTAGGGACTTGATGGTAGAAATACTACCTATTAATTCTTGAGGAGAGCTCTACCTTTTTCAAGATTCTGGTGCAAGACAGGATTCTTTTTTGCCCCATTAACAAAGTATAATTAGTGCTGTGTCTACTAAGTGGGGGTCTTGTGAGAATTGAGAGTCTTAATCTATACACAAATATTTTGAGTTCTTTGGCAGACTGTTTCCTGCATGTTTTAAGGAATATTTTACCTGCCAATTTGTTCATTCAATGCACATGCATTTCTGGGAAAGTACCTTGAGAATCTGTAACTAGATATTTGCTTGTTTTTTCCTTAGAATCTTTTTCAGATTAGGATTAAATTTTTTAAAGGAATGAGAGGAATTTTCAGGATAGAGTATTAATAAATGATACAATACTAAATTAGTGGTTATATTTTGAACCTCAATTGTCACAAGCTAATGGGAGATGGATTTATAACTGTATTGAATGCACTTTATCTTAGAGTTTGTTTTCTTTTTTGGTAATGAGGGAATAGGCAGTAGGGGGAAGAACACTTAACACATGTCCTTTTGTGTGCATTCAGTGGCTTTGGCAGGTTGTATAATGTAAAATCTGAAGTGTTTGAGGCTTGAAATGTGAGCCTGTGGCTTCATTACTGTTGTCTCTGGAAAACAGGAATTACATATATGTGATTTATTGTCTTTTATTTCATGCCATTAATTTTATTATCTTCCATGTTCAATTTGTTTCCTTTAGCACTGTTGAGGCCCCGTATCAAAAGTCTTTCCCTCTTCCTGAAGCTTGACAGTTTTAATAAATGTTCAAAGTTACACTGTGTAGGGGCAGGTTCCTTTCCTGGTTTTTAAATACAGGTGTTCTCTTTTACCCCTGGAACCACCAGACAAAAGCATATTTGTCTGTTTTTGATAATGAGGAACAGACTTTATCCTGGTAAAGAGTGCTTAAAAATGTGTCTGTCTGAGAACTACTGAGTACATTCTTTAACTTATATGTTCAGTTTTAAAGGTTAACACAGAATTTAAATAAGCAAAATGTTACAACAGGAAATGTTAAAGACGTGTTTATATACAATTGAAGACATTTTTTGAGGCGTATGTCTCTTAGAAAATGTTTTTGGAGTTAGATACAGGACGCCGACAGAACACACTGCCACAAATCTCTCTTGAAGGTCTTGTCACCAGCTACTCAGAATTAGCTTCCATGGTCCCTTTTGCATAGAATAAAGCTTGCTTCAGCAATCTTTTAAGGTACTTTGCTTGTTTCCTTATTTGAAACGTGAATGTTCATAAAACTGTTGAAATGAATCTTCATTTTTCCTTTATAGCCCTACTTATATAAACATTTTGTGTTATCACTTGTTTTAGGATTACTTGAATCATTTGCCACGTATTAGGAGGTTTTAATTTGGTGTCCGAGGGACTTAGGACCTTCTTACAACTACTGAATTAAAAAAAAAAAATCTTAGTAGAAGAAAAGGGGGAGGGGAGAGAGGAGGAACGACTTATGCTGCCGTGATGCTGACATCACTCTCCTTCCTATCTTACTATGAAAATAATCCAGATTCATTATGAAGAAAATTGAAGAATATGAATAACCCCAACACATAAACATATAGATTAAGATAATTAAAATCATTTCTTATCTATCACTGGAATACAATCACTTTTTTGCTGTATTATTTATTGAAGTATAATATCTTTAATTCTGTAGGGTTAGTCCAGGGAGTTAAAAGGTTAGTCCTGGAAAATTCACACAGACAGCTCCATTTTCTCATGAAAATTTTTATTATGAAATAGCTTAAGCATATGTAACATTTCTTTTTTTTTTTGTGAGAGACTGGCCTTGTGCTAACATCTGTTGTCAATCTTCCTCTTTTTCTTTTTTCTCCCCAAAGCCCCAGTACATAGTTGTATAACCTAGTTGTAGGTCCTTCTGGTTCTTCTCTATGGGACGCCGCCTCAGCATGGCTTGATGAGCAGTGAGTAGGTCCACGCCCAGGATCCGAACCAGCGAACCTGGGCTGCTGAAGCGGAAGGCAAGAACTCCAGCGCTATGCCACTGGGCCGGCCCCGTGTAGAATTTCATAGAACAAATATGGGTGTATACCCTTGTACTCACCACAGTGACTCCAGTTTCCAGCATTAAAATATATCATGTTATTTAAAAGCCCTGTCCAGGGCCTGCCCCATGGCTTGGTGGTTAGGTGCGCGTGCTCCGCTGCTGGCGGCCCAGGTTCGGATCCTGGGCGTGCAGCGACGCACCGCTTCTCTGGCCATGCTGAGGCTGCGTCCCACATACAGCAACTAGGAGGATGTGCAGCTATGACATACAGCTGTCTACTGGGGCTTTGGGGGGAAAATAAATAAATAAATAAAAGCTTTAAAAATAAATAAATAAAAGGCCTGTCCTTTGGAAAAGTTTTCTTATGATCAGTTTTTATTTGTTTTTTTTTTTTTTTTAAAGATTTTATTTATTTAGGCTGGCCCCGTGGCTTAGCGGTTAAGTGCGCGTGCTGCAATGCTGGCGGCCCGGGTTCGGATCCCGGGCGCGCACCGACGCACCGCTTCTCCGTCCATCCTGAGGCCGCGTCCCACATACAGCAACTAGAAGGATGTGCAGCTATGACAGAGAACTATCTACTGGGGCTTTGGGGGGGAAAAATAAATAAATAAATTAAAAAAAAAATATGTATATATACACCATAAGATTTACCATTTAACCATTTTTTTTGTGTGTGTGTGTGTGAGGAAGATTAGCCCTGAGCTAACATCCGATGCCAGTCCTCCTCTTTTTGCTAAGGAAGACTGGCCCTGGGCTAACATTCCATACCCATCCCTCTACTTTATATGGGACGCCGCCACAGCGTGGCCTGACAAGCCGTGCGTTGGTGCATGCCCGGGATCCGAACCTGCAAACTCCGGGCCGCCAAAGCAGATTGCGTGCAATTAACTGCTACGCCACCGAGCCGGCCCCACCATTTAACTATTTTTATTTTTTTATTTTTTCCCCCCAAAGCCCCAGTAGATAGTTGTATGTCATAGCTGCACATCCTTCTAGTTGCTGTATGTGGGACTCGGCCTCAGGATGGACGGAGAAGTGGTGCCTTGATGCGCACCCGGGATCCGAACCCAGGCCACCAGCATTGCAGCGCGCACACTTAACCACCAAGCCACAGGGCCGGCCCCCATTTAACTATTTTTAAGTATATAGTTCTGTGGCATTAAGTAAATTCACATTGTTGTGCAATTATCACCACCATCCATTTCCAGAAATTTTTCATCTTCTGCAAATTCATTTTGATTTCCATGTTATTTAACCTTTCTGTATTAAGTGCTTTTATATGTGTGATGTGGATTGAGTTACTACATGTAAAGCACTCAGAACAGTATTGGATACATGGTAAGAACTCAACACATGGTAGCTGCTTCCTACAGACTAGATGGTGAAGTAGGCTAAAGGAGATGCAGAGTTGAAGAGATGATAAACAGGAAGTGGAGGAAATGGGCGATGGATGGGAAGCCTCTTTTCTGCAATTCGTTCTTGTCTGTTTCGTGTTTGATTCAAAGTGTTTTTGGGTGTACACATGTATACAGTAGAATTGAAAAATCATAAAATGAAATTCAGTCACAATTTAGAGTTTGGAATTAGATAATTTTATAATGGTTTGAAAGTACATTGTTAATGCAAATTTCTCTAAACCGTGAGATTCAATTCCTAATGAAAGTATTTTAATTTTGTCTGACAGGATTTGAACTTTTCGAAGAGCTGCCAACACCCAAGTTCAGCTTTGGAGGCAGATCTGGAAACAGTGTAGCAGCATTGGTTTTCCAAAAAACGTGAGACTTGTCATTGGACAAATTCAGTTAGCTTTTTTAAGAAGCTCTACATCAAAGTAAACCTGACACAGAAAATGCAAGTGCAAATAAATGCTTAGCAAGTACACAGGATGCACATGTTGAATAGATGTAATAGGTTGGTAAAAAAAATCATGAGTATGTAGTGGTTGGGTTTTAGAGATCAACCAAGAATAATTTTAAAATTTCTTTTGTATTAAAATGTAAATATTTTTCTTTTTGACTAAAAAAATTTCCTGTAACTGATGAACAGTTTAAAATTTTAAAGCAGTAAATGAATTTACAGAAAGCGTGTATTCTTGATTTTTGTGCCTTGGTAAAGTTGAATTGAATATAGCTTTTTATTAAGATTTGTCCAAACTATTCCAGGGCCAGAATAATAAGCAAAACAACTTGCTTAGTGTTTTATTAGACTATTTATGAAACATAATAAGTATAATATTTTGGGTTGAATGGTGGTTTTTAAAAAAATTAATACCTGAGAAAGTCCTATAGCCTTCATGTATATAATTAAACAAAGTAAGATAAATGTATCAGTTGATCAAGAAATATTTATTGAGCTTGTATGTTGTGACTTATTGGTCTTTTACACACTGTGAGGGATAAATAGGAAATAGAAGGAAAGACAGCTAAGCGATACTGTTATATGCTAGCACTGTGTTAAGTTATATTATCTTACTAAGTCATTGTATCCTCGAAACAGCTTTTTGAGGTGTATATTACTTATTCCTGTTTTGATGTATCAAACAGCTAGTACAGGGTGGAGCCAGGATTCTTTTCTGGGTCTGACTCTAAAACCCATTCTGCTTCCCAGGTGCTAAGTCTCTGTCTTTATGGCATTTATAGTTCATTTGGGGAACAAGGATTGGTACGTAAAGGATACTGTTCGAGAAGTGGGCAGTTATTTTTAGGAGCTCTGCAGCTCCTTGTTAGTCACAGTGTTGATCTATGGCCTGTGAGAATAGTGAGTCATCCTTCATTACTTTTCACCATCTCCCTACTTGTCTTAAAAGACTCGCCTAATCGAGAAGTGAATCGTGTCATTCTGTGAAAGGGTGGTAAGTTACGTATAAATATATATATATATTTATATATATTTATTTATATATATATATTTATTTTTATATATATTTATTTATATATATATATATATAAAGTCCTCAGGGATACAGGGACAAAGATGTTTTAGTTAGGGGCTAGTTAGCAAGAGAAACAGTTTGTTTATTAACATTTTTGAAAAGATAAGGAATATTAATATTTAAGGTATATTAATATTTAATACCATTTTGTATTTGGGTTAATATTTTAATATTGGAGTCACAATCACTTTTTAAAAAAAACTGATATAATTTTTGATGATTTTCAGCTTTTTGGGCCTGTTGGGTTACAGAATGAACAGAATTTTTGTGTGTTTGGTAAATGTTACTCCGGTGATGAGTAAGTCTAGCATTACATCTTTTTTCTTTTCATTTTTGCCCTGGAGTGGCAAGAGAGGGGAGGAGGATGGTTTGATTTAGATCAACATTAATCACCCATTAAGATTACTCCCTGCCTTGCACAAGGTAACTGAAGACATTTACATAAACTTTCAACACAAATAACATTTTTTGAAAAGCTCTAGTTTTTAACGTGTGAAAAGTGAGAAATTACTTCAAAATATATGTGATTTAAACAGTAAAAAAAATTGTATTGGTTTTACAAACTAGACATGGGATCTTAAACCATGGAAACATATAAATAGTTTTATAATTTATTGAGGAGATGTGGTCTTTGTTGTTTTTTTCACATTAATATTCCTTGATTTCAAATATGATAATAGTATGTAAGTACGTTTTTAGAATTCTGAGTTGTTAAGTATATGCTATGTTAAAGCACCAATCTAACACAAGAGGCTTTTTGTGCAAGTGGACTGAGACGTTGGGTTTGAGTCACTGATGGCTTGGAGTGGGCCTTTGTTAAAAAGCTCGTTGAGTCACTATCATGGGGGTATTATGTGTGTTCCGTTTGTAAAGATGAAGGATTTTGTTTGGGAATCATGGAGCTGTTGATAAGGTTAGGGAAAGGGAGTTGTCATCTCCTTTTATGAGTTTAATCCTACTGGAAGCCAGCCTCTTGGAGGTTTAAATCAGAACAAATGGAAGGCCCAAAAATGCTAACAATAAATTAGTCTTTTCAAATAATATTGCGCTTTAAAAACCAGGCCAGTAAATGTCCCCAAGTTACTGAAACAAGTCATAAATATGTTATTATTAAACTTAGTTTTGTTAAATCATATGAAAAGGGGGATAACTGAAAGAAATTGTACACTTATAAAAGGGAGCAGTAAGTATGTAGTGAATGCTGTTTTCTCTGGATAAGAAGTTGGAATTGTAATTTTATTTCATCAAAAGACACTTTTATTTTGAGGAAACTTGATTGAAATGCAAAGGAGATTTCTCTGTGGAGCCTGCACAGTATTGTTGCTTTTCATTATGATGTTATTGCTGCATAACAGGGCACTTCTGTGTGTAGGAAGTGCGTATGCAAGTCCAAAGGGATTTGAGGCCTGAATGGGCGGGTTACACCAATTAACAGATAGAAAGGTTTCAGAAAATTTTGTTTTAAGCCAGGTGCACAAGTTACAGTTGCTTTTTGGGACTGGCATTTATGCATATGAGAATCAAACCTGACACTACTCTTGGCAGCTTGACTAAAGCCATTTTAAAATAAGTACAAACTGTCCTTGAATGATTTTTTTCCCATTGTAGTAGCAGTGAGTTTGCCTTTCTTCTTCATCTGTGATATGCAAGCAATTTTCTATTTATTTTGGGGGAAGAAGGGAGGTAAACATATACAAAAAGATTTTGCCTTTGTATGAATAATGTGTTTCAATTCACTTATTTATTTTTAAATTTCTGTGATATTGTAATGCAGTATTATATGTTGACTTTAATTCACATTCATCAGAGTATAATAGAAACCTTAATTTTTAAGGAACCTAAATTAGTAATTAAGTTTTATATGGCTTTGAAATAATTTAAAAAAAATTATTTTTTAATTTATTTTTGTCCCCCAAAGCCCCAGTAGATAGTTGTCTGTCATAGCTGCACATCCTTCTAGTTGCTGTATGTGGGACGCGGCCTCAGCATGGCCGGAAAAGCGGTGCGTCGGTGCGCGCCCGGGATCCAAACCCAGGCTGCCAGCAGTGGAGCGCGCGCACTTAACCCCTAAGCCACGGGGCCGGCCCTAATTTTTTTAGTTGATATGCAAAGAAATAGAGTATCTCTGCCTATATTAATAGATTTTGGTTTATGTTCTCTTAAGTAAGTTTTATATATTTATGCGTACCTGTGTGCCTGGTAGCCTACAATGAAAATATACACAAATGTGAAAAAGTCAGTTGCTCTCCAGGCCAGCATTCTACTGCTCTGGGGAGACCTGGGTTTGATTTCCTGCTTTTGGTACTGTGCTAGAGTGTATGTGCTCCAGAGACAGCCTTCTGCTTTGAGAGCAAGAGACCAAATGTCTTGTGTTCCACAGTAGTAACCTCTTTAGCTAATTGTGGGGCGGGTGTTGATGGGCTCTGAAAGGAGTCTTGTCTAGTACACTTCACTGGAAGGAGGCTGCTTATGACCTAGAGCTTTATTGTGGGAGGCAGGAGCATGGTAGGTTGAAGGACAATTGCATAGTGGGAAAAAAATTAGGAAACCCTTATCATTTCTCTTGGTTAGGCAGGAAAAGAGATGTCCTTAGAAGAAGGGGGAGCACATGAGCATGTTTTCTTGACAGTCAATGGAAGAAAATTAATGCTAATTTATTCTTCATACATACCATGCAATTTGTTAGAAAAGTAAAAGAATAGTTCGAAATTCTTTGGTCAATTGATGGATTCCTATGTTAGGGGCATAGAAATGAAACTCAACATTAAGCAGACAAATACCCAAGCCCACAGGCTACATAAATGCTGAATAAAACCAGCTCTACAATGGAACTCTGAAAAGCGAGGGGTAAGAAGCCTAATGAATGATTGAATATGACCTTAGCAAAATCCCTGGAGTGTTGCTGAAAGATCATTCATTTCCAGCTTAGATGTCAAGATGGGCTCCAGTAACCAGAAAAAAAGAGAGCTTGAGTCGGTACTTACTGAGTTTTTAAAATCTTTACAACACAATACACTAGACTATCATTAAAAGGGCTTCTCTAACTGAATTTTGAGCTGTCGCTGTGTGGACCTGTAGTTTAGTCCCAGGGAAACCAAATTAAAAAGATAGGAATAATTCCCAAGACATGAATGTATCAATATCCTGCTTTTATGGAGTAGAACTTCAAAAACTGGGATGTAGAGGCTGGCAGAATGTACTTTTGTCATGCTGATACCATTGTAAGAAAGACTTACAACCAAGAGATCAATTGTACCTTAAAAGTATTTGCAAATTACTTGCCTATTTTATTAGAAGATATAAAAAACCAAAATCTACTTTTTTTCATTTTTAAATGTCCCATTCTGAAGAAATGGTAAATTCTTCTGTTATGTTTTTAAATATGTGTTGTTATTACTGCATCAGGAAATAAGTATGTTAGTGAGTGATCTTTATTGTGCATGCTATCCAGAAGCTTTTTAAGAAAAGCAAATCTAACCCATTTGTTTTTCCAAATACCTAAAAATTTACACATGAACCAGCAATTAGTATATCCTGGATATTATCTGAGGAGCTTAGAAAGACATATGAAAAGTACTCTGATTGAATAAGGGGACCATGAACTGTATTTCTCACTCTTCATTAACATATTTACAGATGAAGCAGTTTATTATTATCAGTGATTATAGCAGAAGAGAAGTGCTGTTGGGTGGCTGTAGTTCCCCTGCTGTTGCCTCCCTTACTGCTTCAAAGACAAGGGAATAGTCGAGAGGAAGAGGCTGAATGTAGAAGAGAGTGGGTGCTGCCAGTTCAGATTTTTCTCCTAACCCCTCCTCTAAAATGAAAATGTCAGTCCTTTGTTCTCATCTAATTTTAGTACATCCTGGCTAAAAAAATGTTAGGATGAAAAATGTTAGGATGATTTCCAACCATGGAACTTGGAGGGGTAGGGCAGGACGGGGGCAGAGTAGAGGAAAGAACAGTTTACATTCCATATCCTTCTGCCTTTCTGCGACAGCATCTAGCCTTTACTCTGTTGATTTTGGTAATGAAATAAATTTAGATGCACTGAAGCAGCAATAATTAGGTTTTCCTTCCATATCCTCAACAAGAAGCCTAGTTGGAGCCTGAATGGGGAAAATCATAATATGGTATTTAATGAAACATACTGGGTTGAATTAAAGAGCTGTGTGCAAGTTTTGGAAGAAAGGCCTAAAATTGTAAGTGAAAACTACATGTTGTGTTATTTATAAATAGAACCTTTGTGGTCCATTTGTGAATCAGTGAAACTGCTTTTATGCTATTGTTTCGAATGAGAATAATGTTTGTTGATTTTTGAGAAGCTGACATAAGCAAGGCACACAAGTCACAACTGTTTATTCCCTCTGGAAACCCTAACAGGTCTAGAAGGA